TTTTTTCCACCATTGTCTACCCTTTCCAACTCACCACACTATGTCTGCATGCATGTGTGTGTGTAAAATATTTCTTTTTAAATGTCCTTCTCCACATTCCTACATACCAGAGAGATGTTCATGGCTTTCTGTGAATCAAATTCTGATCCAGAGATCTCTTTACTATTCTAGCCCCCTAAGCCTTCTAGAGGTTCCTTACATAGGATCCCATTAAAGGTTCACAAGAGCAGATACTGTTCATTTTTTATTAAAGTAGTTGGGTAAATATATCAAATCTGTAAATGTCTGGAGTATTTTTGGCAACAACAATTGCTCTGGGGAGGATTCCAGAGACTGGAAACAGCATTGCTCTGGAGAGGGAAGCAAAGGGTCATAGATGAGAAGAGGACTTTCTTTTTACTGGGTACTCTTTTGTGTCATTTGTTTTTTTACCATGTGTAAATATTACCTTAAAAAATTATACAAGAAGGGTATTGACTACCAATTGACATTTGTTGGATACTGACTGTTTCAGTGGCTATTCACTGGTGTTTGACTATAAAACCTCTTTGAATATTTACAACAGCCTTATGTAAAACCCTGTGTTCCAAACTCAGGTAGTATCCGTCACTAGCTGATAAATGGCAACATGGAGAACTGAACACAGTTCTGCTTTCCAAAACCATAGACGATGTTGTGTTGACTTCAAGTCTTCCCAAGGGAACAAACTGTGTAAGACTGTAGCATTGGGACTACTTTTAGGAAACTAAAGGAACATTGGAAGTCCTATCACATGGTTCACACCAACAACTTAATCTTCCTTGACCCGAGATACCTTGTTAAAAGCCGGTCACGCATGTATCACTCCGCTGGGAGTTGGGCCTCCCTGATGATTCCCCCAAGTCCTTCCCTGGCACTGGGGTGCTCACTCCAGAGGTGGAGAAGTTACCTGTTCCCGTACTGTCTCCAGTAAACTTCTATGTCTAAGTGGGGGATTTTCGGGGTAGAAGTGAAATGGCTTGTCAATATTCTAGTTCTCCTAAGCATATGGATTCTTCATTTATTTAGCAATTATCTTTTGAGTGGTCCAGACACTGGAGGCAAGCACTCTTCTGAAGGGTCAGAATTAGAGGTGAGCAAGGTCCTTGCCCCCAGGAAGCATCCATCCTGGTGTGAAGAGGCAGGCAATAAACAAACAAGCAAGCAAGTAAGCAGAACGCCAGATAATGAGTGTATTGAGGAAAATTAAAACCTACTGTTAGGCAGCGTGACTGGGTGACTACCTCATCACGGGTCATTAGGAGGGCCTTTCTGGGGAAATATTTACTTAAATGACAGGAATGACAAATATGCCCTAGGAGCTATGCCCTTCAAAAGAAGCTCAGGTTCCTGTGTGTTCCATTCCCTCACCCAATTTCTATTCCAATCTGCTGTTTATTTACAAGGAGATTTTGCAGTCCCAGAAGTTAGCACTAGAAAGGACCCAAGAAGTCTTCTTAGTCCAATGCCATCATTTTAGAGATGAGGAAAGAAAAATGTAGAAAAGTGGAAAAAGCAGGTCCCATAGCTAGTTGGTGGCCTGACCAGTGTCTGAGAGTCCTATCTAGCCCATATTTCTTCCACAAACCCACATTCCTCCCTTGCTTATCTGTCCAGTGTTCAGCTCCTCCCTGTAGAATCTTCACCCTGGTGCCTGCCTTTCTGGAGTCCACTGACACTAAATCCTCTCTGGACCAAGGGGACCATCTGAAGCAGCATTAGGCATCTTGAGGATGATATCCTGGGGACGAGGATAACAGTGGAAGGACCAACACAACTTTCCATGATGCAATCTCACCACAACCCTGCCATTCCCTGGAGCCATACCTGCCATCCTCCCTGCCCACAAGTGAGCCCTAATAGGATCCTTCAAGTTGGGGAGCTACATGGCTCTATGACCTCAATGAACACTATACATCTATCTTCCAAAGTGTTCCCTGGTTTAATTGAGTTGATATGAAAACGTTCTATTCTCTCAACCCCTCTCAAAATGCCTTACAAAAAGATTAACCACAGAATTTCTTTAAATAGCAACTTCCTTTAGTACATGTAAAGTATGATCTACAAAAATTCAATCTACACAAAGATTTTCTCCTCCCCCTCCGCACGAAACAACAGCTACCATATCAAGGGCAATAACATAAACTTGGATTCTTAATGGTAGATTTTGGGATTCTTTCATTATGTAATGATTCTCATACATGCTACAAATACTTATTGAACTGCTCTATGAAATACGCTCTTACAGGTTGTTGTGAGGACACAATTGAGCTAAAGACACAGCCTCTGCCCTTTGGAACTGTGCATGTGGACAACTCGAACAAGAGGCAGATGTGATGGGTGCTACCTCAGATGTATGGACAAAATCAACAGGGGACAAGGGAGTGTGAGATTTTATCTCAGTCAAAGATGAGGAAAGGAAGCTGCAATATTTTAATTTGGGTATCAAAGGACGGTTATGATTATATAATTGGATAATTCATTCTAGGAAGAAATATCATGACATGTACAGGGGACAGGACCTACAAAGGCACATTCTCAGAACAGGAAGAAGCCCAGGGTAGCTTAATTGTGAGACAGGAAATCATGAGGAGGAGAACAAAGGTTTGGAAGGGAGACTAGAGCCTTGAATGCAAGAACAGATCAAGTCTAGCCCCAATCCATAAACCATAGAAGGCTCAAGGGGCTTTGGGCAGAGAAAGAATATCACAGTCAGAGTTGTGCTTCAGGAAGCTCATTCTGGCAGCCATATTTTGGACTAATCTGAAGGGGTAAGGGCAGGTGCCAGGGACAAGGAGGCCCATTAAAAAAATTATCACATAGTTCCTGGATCATATATAAAGTAAAGAATAAATTCAAGAGCTAGAATAAAAGTAGAATTGGTGAGGGAAGGGATCCAAACCCTAGGAAGGAGGGTCTAGTTCTAGAAAGGGCTGAGGGGCACAGGCCTCAGATTCTGGACTCAAGAAGAGAAGTCAGTATGACCTGATGGTGAGTGGTGTCTCTTTAAGAAAAGGCAGTTGTGAGATGCCTCCTCCTGCTTGAGACAGTCATTGTGAGCCTACTGCAAAAAAAAGCTGCCCCCTCTGTACATCTTATGAGCTACCTATGAAGCCTCAGTTATTAATAACTCCTCTTCTGGAGACAGACAGAAGTGCCTGTTATACATGAGGAGCCCAGAACATTTCTTAAATTATGACGTCTCTACAGCAGCAGTGAAAGCAGCTTGATTGGAGTGAAAAGCAGAAGCCCAGGGAACATCCATTTCTGAACAAATGATAACTTGGTGAAGGGAGGGCAACTTTAATCAAGAACATCAGGCAGGCCAGGCGCAGTGGCACGCACCTCTAATTCCAGCACTTTGGGAGGCTGAGGCAGAAGGATCACTTGCAGCCAGAAGTTCAAGACCAGCCTGGGCAACATAGTGAGACCTCATTTCTACCAAAAATTTGAAAGTTGGCCAGGCATGGTGGTGCACGCCTGTAGTCCTAGCTACTTGGGAGGCTGATGGGGGAGGACAGGTTGAGCTCAGGATTTTGAGGTTGCGTGAGCTATGACAGCACCACTGCATGCTAGTCTGAGTGACAGAATGAGACCCTGTCTCAAAATAATAAGATTAAATAAAAAGCTGGCATAATTTAAGCCTTATAATTGTGCCCTATCTGGTAAGAGAAAATGCATGATAGATAGAGGTCTTTCAACTTGAAGAATTAGATCCTGGATTCTCCTGCCTGAGCCACACATGCCTCGTTTCTTGGGTGAGCGTTCACACATTCACATAACTAGCTGTCCAGGGCTCTCTGTGATGAGGTTGTGAATTTCAAGAAGTTTATCTCTGGCCTCATTTTCTGGTAACTCTCTCTAGAAATATATAGCTGGATTTCCATTCTAGGCAGAACTATGCTAACATTTCGAAGCCCATTCTCAGCCAATTGGCCCATGGAATCTGTGGAAGTTGTCTTAGTTTCCCAACATGCTTTCACAGAATATGAATATCATGAACAAAGGGGTCTTGGGGTAGAATAATTTTGGGAAATTCCATTCTAAATAAAAGTTAAGGTATTTCTTTGCTATAAGACACCTCTGAACTTTCAAGGGTTGGTATGTTCTAAGACTCTCCTAGAGTGAGAAACAGTAGTTAGCATCTTTCCCAACCTTATGTATCTGTAAAACTATTTTCAGCAAAATGTCTCGAGAGACAAGAGTACTGCAGAATATATTTGGAGAAAAATCAGCAATGACATTACTCTCAGGAATATTTGTATTCAACTGAGAATCTGGAATAATACAAATTGTAATACTAATTGAGTGCTTACTATGCACCAGGCACCTTTCCAAATACTTTACGTATACTTAATCCTTATACCCGTTGGTACTATTATTATTTCCCTTCTATGGATGAGAAAACTGAGGCACCGAGTAGCGAAGAGATTTGTCTAAGATCCTAAATAGAGCTGGGAATTGGACCTAGACAGTCTGGTGCCCATAGAAATTAATTTCTGATGGTAGAATTCCAAACACTGTGATCAACTGTCAGTGGAAGAGATTCTGAGCAGAGCCTTGCATGGGAATCCTTCAATCACAGTAAGTCTACCCTTTCTTCTCATAAATTCATCTTTATAAGCTTCCCAGATGCTCTCTAGGACACAACTCCCAAACTATACCACTAATTCAGTTTCGTCACCAAATTATGTTATATTGTACACACATACTCTCCCACGAAAACAAAGTCATGATTCAGATAGCAATGCAATTATCAACAATAAATGGAAATACATAAAGAAAACAATCTCTTGATTAACCAAAACAGCAAGTAAATGAACATGCAAGTTTGAGAAATGGCTTCTCCTGTGTATCAAGGTATTGATCCTTTGCTCCACGGGTCTAGGGACAAAAACCAAAGGACTACTTTCCTTCCATGTGTTGCAAAATTTCACATCTCTACTCTACTTTGCTCAAGAATTGTCAAAGACATGTCCTACCCTTTCCCACTTCCTCTCCTTGTTCAGAAGAATTATCACCAGTTTTGGGTGCATCTGGTAACCATCTTCACTGAAGGACAGATTCCTCCCCTCAAAAGTGACGTTGATCAGATACCTGTAAAGATGAAATAAAACGAAGATTAAAAGTATGAAGAGGATATACCACGAACAAGGCAGTTAGGTATATAGAGAGAAAGCTGGCTAAAGACAGACCAGTAAATAGAAATACAGATACCATTACCAAACTTGGTATACCTTGAACTCCCATTTGATGCAATAGAGTCATCCAAATTTTCACAGAGTAGGAATCATATGAAAAAGTAATATAAAAATTTTAAATAAAAGAGGTTTGGTCACTGCATGTTCTTACTTACAAGTGGGAGCTGAACAATGTGAACGCATAGATACAGGGAGGGGAACAAGACACAATGGGGTCTGTAGGCAGGGAGACGGGGAGAGGGAGAGCATCAGGAAAAACAGCGAATGTATGCTGGGCTTAATATTTAGGTGATGGGTTGATAAGTGCAGCAAATCACTATGGCACAAGTTTACCTATGAAGTGAACCTGCACATCCTGCACATGTACCCAGAACTTAAAATTAAAAATAAAAATGTTTAAAAAGGTGTTTGGTTGAAGTTCACTCTATAGGTATGACATTGAGCAAATTACTCAGCCTTTCTGAGCCTCAGCGTTTTTCCCTATTGGCAAAAACTAGTATAATAAAGGGACCTACTTCATTAGGTTTGTAAGGCTTAAATGGGATAGCTTAGGTTAACCACTTATCATGTGGCCTGGTGCATAGTAGAGTCCCATTAAGTGCTAACAATTGCTATTGAAAAACAAAGGTGGATTAAAGGTTGGAGATGGTAGAGACAAGAAATGAAAGTAAGAGTGTACCAAGACAACTTTCTGCTAAGAAAGGTGGCATGTAGGAGCTTAGGGTCTCCCTCTATCCCAGAGATATGTACATACTCTTTAACTCTTGCTAAGGTCTTGCCCGTACTTCTAAGAGTTGTGAGATGAGTACAGTAAGCAAGGATCTGATATGACAGGATGCATCTGGAAACCAGGGCTATTACACTGTGTATAGGGAACAGAAAATACTAAGGAATGGGAAAAGGTGGGAGAGGCATTTCACAGAGTGCTCTGGTGACTTGTGCATAGATTAGCGGAAACTCTGGAGGTAACTAGAGTCAGACCAATGAAACTGTCTTCCTCCTGGACACCTTCACCTTAGCCCACCCTTTTCCCCTCTGGCTGCTGTCATCTGATGAGCAGTCCCTTCATGGGGAATTCCCAAAGGCATGCTCATTACAACTGCATTAGTGCAACTGCACTGATGGTAATTAATGTCTTTTTACCATAATGGACCAAGGAATCAATAATGATTAGCTCTGTGTTCACATGACATGTTACTCTGGAGCCTTGGGCCTGATGTTGCTTGTGAGACATGTCCCTGCTAAGAAGCAAAAGGGATATGTTGTAATTGTAGTGAGGATGCTAAAGGAGGCAGCTTAAAAACTCTTTTTTTTTTTTTTTTAACTCCTCTCATTCATTGAAACTGAGAGGTCTTCTTTGATTCTTCCAGGTAATGTTAGGTTAAACAACAAGGTTGCTAGGATGCATATCCTTATGGTGATTCTAATGATGCTTATGCAGCATGAACCAAATCCTCATGGATCACTTCTTACTTCCAGAACTACCTGGGATGTTTAAGCCTGTCATTCCCTGATCTTGTGTAGCTTCACAAATGGAATCAAGAATGCAGAAGACCCCAAAGGAGTAGCGATTCCTAGAATCCCTAGAACTGAAAGAGACTTTCATAATCAACTAGCCTACCACTTCTTACAATTTATGCTTCCCTTCTATACCATAAAATTGGTCTTCTCAGCTCTTCTTGAATTCTTTCACTGATGGGGAACTTTTCATGGCACCTTCCGGGCTCAAGGTAGCCATCTCAGTGTTGGCTACTTAGTTCTTTCTTACTTAAAGCTGAAACCTTCTCCCCTGCAACCCTTTGATACCTGTTTCCTTTTTAGAGATTCTACAGTCTTAGTCTAATCCTTCTTCTACATGAGAGTTTCTCAAGTATTTAAAGACATTTATCATACATCCCTTATGAAATCAATTTTACTCCTTAAATAACCATTAAACTCTTTTAGTTCTAAAATTTTAACTTGATGGATTAAAAAACAAACACAAGGAGGTTAAATTATTTGTCCAATGTTATTGTATGGCAGACGTACCTGACAGCAATAAGTTATGCATACCCTGAGAATGACCCTACAGTCTCAGAAAAGTGTATGTTCAGAGTCCTAAGCTAAGAAATCTGGAAATAGTCAACCCAGAGATTTACTTTTTATCTATGAAGGACATCTAAACCCTCAGTTCATCTCTTGGTCTGCAGGCCATACAGGGGATCAAAGTCCTTTGTTTTGGGTTAAATGAATGTTTAGGTGAACGTTGCTAAGTGAAAATGCTATATAAACTGCATGCATTTTACAAATAGTAGCAGTTCTCCTGTCCAGCCCACCACCACTGGATTGTCCTTCTATGTAAGTTCCCCCAGTAAATCCTATGTCTCATTCATTGTCTCTGGGTCTGTTCTTAGGCATTTCAGATATGGTGTCATTGCTATTGGAGTCAATAAGGGTCCAGTATGACAGTTACACAGCTAATTGGGAGCAGAAGTAACATTTTAAGCAATATCTCCAGTTCCATGTCCTTTCCTGACACCAGCCTGATTGTCATATACAACAACAGGGTTAGCATCCCAAGTCCTTTACATATTCCTCATATACCATGGCTTCATGTTTTCTACCATCCCATCTTGGCTGCTCTCTCCAGACACCTCCACTCAGTGACATGTTGCATCCCCAACACAACTCAGTGCTCAGTGTGCTCCACTCCTTGCCCTGCTCCTCAGCCTTCAGCCCAGAGCTGCTCACCCAAGCCCATCATTAGTGTGAAGGTAATATTCAGGTCTCCTATAGTTTGCAATGACTCTAACACTCCAACCAAAAGCCCTGAAGAATTCATTGCAGAGAGTATAATTACAAAAGCACAAGACAAGTTATTTTAAACCAACAAACTAGAATGTAACCGTGAATATAATACACTTGAAAATATATTCTTACTACAAAGACACTGAAGAATTTCTGGAGTCTTCAAATAAAGTTTATGAGACATGTAAAACAATTTGGTCTCATCTATTTTGAAACGAGGAAGGAAAGAAGGAAAAAAGAAGAAAGAAAAGGAAAGAGGAAGGAAAGAAAGAGAGGAAAAGTGGGAGGAAGGAAGAGAGAGATGGAGGAGAGAGGGGTAAGGAAGAAGAAGAATGGGAGGGAAATAAATGATCTGGCTTAAGCATCCACCTTTTCATCAGACACTGTGCTGAATAATTCTGCCTTTATCTAAAACACCATTAAGAATATTTAAACGAAAGTATCTATTTCAGAAGGCAATTATAAAAGAGGAGTTCCAAAAATAACTCAATTAATAAGCAGCATCAATGGAATAACGATACAGCCTCTCAAGATGACTTCTTTGAAGGGGACAGCATTGAACTGGGTGTATAAGTTGAGAAATTTGAACTTGCAGAAAATAAATCACACTCATGGGAAATGTAATTGGTCTGTAGATTTCTCTGGCTATTCCTATTCCAGAAACTTCTGATTTTCCTTAGAAACTGTTCTCTTTCTGGGGTGCTCCTCCTCTTCCAGCTCTAAGTTCATTTTATTTACTTAAGCACTCCTCACATATTTTACACTTATCAAAAACATTAGTAAAATTTTATGACAATATACAAAATATTCTTCTCCAAAGTATCCTTTCATCATTCATATCTATCAGCAGCATATAGATTAACCATTCACACTGTGTTTTTACGAGTAATTTCTTGTGGTGTGAGAACATTTAGCCATTAGTGAGGAGTTTGCAAATATACACCAGCCTTGAGCAAGATGCCCTTTGAATAGCAGAACAAACCCATCCATTCATTGGTAATGAATAGTGTGAAAAAATAGTTGGGGGTGTGGTCACTTCTAGACATGTGATCTTGGCACCTGAATCTCAGTTATTATTCTCCAAAATGAAGACATCATTTTACCTCCAGCTTATCAGAGAAGTCTGTTATGATGATCAAATGAAAGAGTGGGTAGGAAAACTATATAAAATATGATACCAATATAAGGTTATTTCATAGGAAAAATTCAGAAAAAGAATATATTAGTATAATTTGAGTATCTAAAGGCAAGAAAGTTGCTTGATTTTAAACCTCAGTGAGTAAGTGTGATAACTACATTTTAATAAGACTCAATTATCAATGAAATACCTCTGAAAAATGGAGATTGGCTTCCACACGTGGAGGCTAAACTAGATCAAATGGCTATATTAATCAATTTAACTTTCCATAAGACCTGAAAATATCCAACTACCCTTCGATCTGGCTGTACTTTGTCAATTTTTACTATTAATTAGAACCTCAAAACTTTCATGTGTGAATCCTGGGTAAAGGATTAAATTATATGTAAAATTAAGAGATGCCATAGCTATTCTATTTCTTTCCAAACATGTCATTCTCAAGTACACAGTCAAAAAGCCTTGCTTCAAGTGGCAGCCAAATGCAGAAGTTCTGCCCATGAGACTCAAATCCCCTGGAAGTCCCATCAAGGTTTTGTGTGTGTGTGTGTGTGTGTGTGTACGTATTTTAAGTTGCTTGATTTGTCTCTAGAATGTAGTTTGAACCTTAAGAAACCAGATGGTCTGTCTCATACAGTTCTAATATTACACAGAATCTCACTAGGACTAGGAGAGAACTTAGAAATTATCCATTGAGAACCCTCATTTTAGAGAGGAGAAAATAGGTCCCAAGATGCAAAACGACTTTCCCAAGGTGACCTGCCTGTTTAGGATGGGAGCTTAAGTCTTCTGACTCTCAGCTCAGGGTCTTTCCATGATCACCAACTGAAGTGAAATCAGTTCCACAGAGCTCCAGATGTGCATTTTAGCATTCTTGCATCACATGGCCCATCCTGGACTATACAGATCCCTAATACAGACCGCATAAAACAAAATCTATCTTAGATAATTAATCTACCTGCTTGCCTGCTTGT